GGCTAAAAACAAAGCAGTTGTGCTGTGTCTTGGAAAGGAAGAAGCATGAGGTGGGAAGGACAAAAGATGGTAATGAATGTAGCCTGTGGGAAGAAAAGGAAACCAGAACACAAGCATTGCAGTATGGAGGGACACAGTATTTGGCTGCAAGTCCACCTTGCTCCATCCTAGTTATGAAATAAACCGCACACATTCCATATGCATTATAGAATGACCACTCAAAGAAATACTGTTACGGGTAAGCAACCTGTCCTTATCAAGGAGGGGAACAACAACAGATTAACGAATACACAACATCAGTTAAAAATGCAGAACACATTTAAAAGAACAAATAAGACACATACATATTAAAACAATGCACATTTAAAAAAAATCATCATTTAAAATTCACAATTTAAAAATAATCTGGATAAACCTGCTGGAAGAGATTAGTATTTAATGCTCTTTTAAATTCAGACAGCATAGTCAGCTGTTGAATCTCTTCCGGCAGGTCATTCCGCAGTCTATGGGCAGCTGAAGAAAATGTCCTGTGGCTGACAGTTGCCAACCTCATCCTGGCTGACTGGAGTAAATGCTGACATGTTGACAGTATGTTTTGCATCTGATGCATGTGCAGAAACAGAGGCCACTGAAAGTAGAGAAACACTTGCTAGTCATTCTCATTGCTCACAAATGTAACTCAAGTCCTGTATGCCATCTAGATGCTTACAGGATTTCCTTGTTTGTTTTGTGTTTGTTGACAACCTCAGCCTTTCATATATTCACTGTAGCGCAGGCATCTGTGTTGAACAGTGACGGATAAATCAAGTTAATAAGGCGGAAGGTTAACGCTTACAGGAATACAAAGCACTTCCTGATTGAAGATAAAATAACATGAAGGCAATACATAACCCAAATGCTTGCTGTGTGAATACTGAACAGTTACTTAAGCACTAAACAAGAAGACCAAATGGGAAACAATTACTTTTATGTAGCTAGCTCCCTCCTTCCTTTCCAAAGAAGCAGTGTGCATAATCCCAGAGGAGGTATAACAAAACCTATAAAAGCATTCCACTTTTGAAAACTTTAATTCCAACTGATAGGTTACTTTTTTTAAAAAATGGAAGTATGCTTACAATGGTGGGTGGAGGGAATGGTGAATGCCACAGTAAACATCCTGGCCATGTTGTTCCCAACAGTCTGTCTTGAGAATTCTGTCTGCCACATAAGTGGCCTCTCCAGATGTGTTACTCGAAAGAGCCTCACAGTTGTGCCTCATCCATGCTCTTCCTTCTTGTGCAATTGTGAGGAAGAGATCAGAAGCATCTTCTTCCATTTTCAAACTAAATGGAGTTCCCCAGTAAGTGTGAACTCAGAGGATCTCTCATTAGTTCAGAGACTCTAGTTTCAAACTGTGTTTTATGTTTCTGAGTGGGTCACAAAATGCAGTTTGACCTACCCATGCACACTTAAATGTAGATGTAACAATGAATTTGGGTTAATTTAAAAAGTGATGTTAATGGTTCTCATCTCTTCATTGCAGCTATGCTAGGAGGGAGAAAGGCGCCAGAGTGTGCAAGCTCTAGGTTCCTTCACACAATGCTGATCCTTTCCCAGAAGTTTTACACCATTCCATCCACATTAGTGATTGCTGCTTATAAGTCTCAAGGTCCTCTATCCTTGACCATGCTGGGTTTAGGCAAAAACCTACCATGTTATGACTGGATTGCTATATGTGATGGGAAACATTTAGCCCTCCATATGTCTCAGAACAACCTCCACAATCCATTGCTACTACCCATTTTGGCTGGGGCTCCTAGCAGTGGAAGTCCAGCAAGATTGGAAGGGTCAAAGGCTGCTTACTTCTGCTGTATTGAGTTCTGCTAAACAAAATGTCCAGAGTATGAAACACCAATCCCTGGGATGTGGATTTCCATAGCAAACCTCATGTTTAGATTTTCATAGGGTACCCAAGGAAATGTAAACAATCAATATTTATATCAATATTTTCTCTGAAGATGCTAGCCACAGATGTTGGCGAAACGTCAGAAAGAAACTCTTCTAGAACATGGCCACACAGCCCGAAAAACCCACAAAAAACTATAATATTTATATCAGCTTTATATATCTGTTCAGATGCATGGTCATAGAGGCTAATAGATACTTAACTATTATTAAGTATGCATTCTTTTCTCCTTTTGATAACCAGATTAATTCTTAACTAGAAGTTACATTCCGTTTTTATGAGAGAATAGCATGAAACCCTTAGTTAAAGCTGACAAAAAAAGGGAAGGGATATTTTAGGTTTGAAGAGGTGGAAGGGAACCTACAGCCTACTCCAACTTATCCCAGCCAATTTAAGAGATCCTCAGAAAGTACATCTCTGTAAGGCTGTTACCTTTCTATTTTGATGCTCTGTGATTTCATTGGTGTGAGTAGCCCCCTCACCAGTGCAGATCATGCACACTGTCATTGTGTTCATGAGGAGCTTTCTGACAAACCTCTCCAGACATACCTGAGACAACCAACATGCAGTCTGTCTGTATGACCATACTCAAAGAGGCACTAGCCTGGCACTCTCCCAGAGCTTGTGTACCTTTGGGGTAGCCTTCATTTCCCTCTGCACAATGGTGAGGCAGAAGAGTAGGACCAGAAATTTGAAAAGTTACTTCTTTGTAGCACAGCTCATACACTCCAACCTCCATGGCTGATTCTGGGAGCTGCAGTCCACAAAACTAACATTCTCAACCTCAGATATGTCTGCTTTTGTCAGACCTCATCTGGAATACTGTGTCCAGTTATGTCCAGTCCACAGTTCAAGAGGATATTGACAAACGAACATATCCAGAGAAGGACAACCAAGATCTTCAGAGGTCCAAAAATAAAGCTTCATGAAGGATGTCTTAGGAAGCTGGATATGTTTAGTTTGATAAGAGAAGAAGGAGAGGTGACAGGATAGCAGTCTTTAAATGTCTGAAGAGATGTCATGTAAAAGGCAGAGCAAGCCTATTTTCTTCTGCTTCAGGGACTAGAACCATGACTCAATGGATTCAGGTTACAAGAAATGAGATCCCACCTAAACATTAGTAATTTCTAATGTTTCAGCATTTAAATAGATTGCTTTAAGGGGGTGGTGGACTCTCCAAATTGGGAGCATATTTCACTGGTGTTTTAGTTGTGTATTGCTACATGGCAGGGAGTTGGAGCAGATGACTCTTGTGGTCCTTTCCAGCTGTGATTCTTTGGAGGAAGGTTGCTGCAAATGGAAATTAAAAAGAATGCAGAAGCTGCTAAAGATATTGCCTTGAAAGCACATAGGTTTAAAAATATTTTTTTCAAACATGTTTAGCTTCTGTTGGCTGTGTGTGAAAGAAACACTACAATTGGAACCAGCTGTCAAGGTGCCATGCTCCCATCCATCACAAACGTTATCAACCTTGCTGACAGTCATGACCGGGCAGCATTTGCTATGGTGACCCATGTCAAGCAAGAGCCCCGTGAAAGAGAAAACAGTGAATCCAAGGAGGAGGTAATTTCTTACTACTTGTTTTGCAGCTTATTATTTCCCTGTGTTCTAAAATATGCCACAACACATGGCCCTGCTTTATACTGTAAGCCTTTAATGCTTAATATTGTCTGCTCTGATCCCTCTCTAGAGTCTTAGGTATTCCTTATACTTGAATCGTTTTGGGTAGGGGCACTGGGCATGGGATCTTCTGCTTGAAAAACTGATCTTCTGACCTCTGAAGCAGCCATGCCAAGACATGTTCTTTCACTGGGCTATTGTCTTCCTGAAAAATTGGTCCATATTTTGCAGAAAGAAAGAAGCTCATGTCCATAGACAAGACTTTTCCAACTCTGGTTTCCCAAATGCTGGTGATGGTGTTGATAATGATTGTCTGTTCAGTTTGTTCCTTTCCCTTTCTTGTGAGTTCAGGGCAGCTAACAATTCTGCCTAAAAATGCAGTGCTAAATTCACTGACCACAAATATCTGTAATTATGTATCTAAAACCATACATTAAAATTAATGTCAAAATACAATAAAAATATTTTATTTTTTTGTTACCTTTTTAACCAAACAGCAGTCAAAAGACAACATTTATTTTGCAGAAATAGAAAGCTTTCAGAAATAGATATATTCACGTGCTTCCCAAATATGGGTACCTAGAGGGACCCTGAACTGTAACTCTCAGAATTACTGACTAATGGCCATGCTGGGAAAGGCTTCTAGGAGGTGAAGTTGAAAAATAGCTGGTGACCCAGGGTTGGGAACTACCAGTCCACAGCAGCATTACCCAACTTTGGTTCCTCTGTTATTGGAGTTAAACTCCCTTCATCCCTAACAACTGGCTACATTGACTGAGGAGGATGAGAACATCGTAATCGAGAAGATTGGCTTGTGGAGGCCAGAGTAATGTTGCCTATCAGGCTACTGTACATGGCACAGTTTTTCCAGGGTGGCACTCCAATTATGGAATTCCATTTATTAGAGATTGGGTCGTTTTGCCATTCAGCTGCACTTGAATGGCAAAAGGATAGGAAACAAGATATTTGTGGTTAGTGATTTTGCACTTCATTTGTAGACAGAATTGTTAGCTGCCCTGAACTCATGAGAAAGGGAAAGGAACAAACTGAACAAATCCTGGGATTTGTACGTTGTGACACCAGAGCTCTCTGACAGGGAAGGCTAAATATCACACAGAACTACAAAACAGAGAACTATGTTTTTTAAAGTTCACAAAATCTGTTGTTAATCCTGTTCCCTCTTCCTTTTTTAAGGATGTGGAAATAGACATTGAATTGGCTCCAGGTGATCAGACTAGTACACCCAAAACCAAAGAGCTTTCTGAAAAGGACATTGGCAACCAATTGCACATGTTGACTAACCGGCACGATAAATTCTTGGACTCTCTGCGTGAAGTGAAGGTATGTCAGTATTTACCTTGGGGTGACTCCTTCTGATTTTAGGTTTTGTTTTTTTAAAAAATTCAAGGTCACATTTGAATATACTAATGATTGAGGCAGAATGGTGTAGTGGTTTGAGTGTTGGACTGGAACTCTGGGAAACCAGGGTTCGAATCCCTGCTTGGCTGTGGGTGACCTTGCCCACGTCACACTCTTGCAGCATCAGAGGAAGGCTATAACAATCTTGTTCTGAACAAATCTTAACAAAAAAACTGTACGATAGAGTCACCATAAGTCAAAGTTGTTTGAAGGCACTTGATAACAAAGTTTGTAGTGTAGATGCCTGGTTGGTAAATCCATTGGGTGACCTTGGGAAGTCATACTCTCTCAGCCTCAGAGAAAGGCCATGGCAAACCTCCTCTGAATAAATTGGGCCAAGAAAGTCCTAGGATAGGTTTGCCATATGTCAAAGGTAACTTGAAGAAACATAATAACAACTATTATTATTATTTTACTCTGTAAATTTTTAATTATTTCTTATTTTAATACTAATTTTGTTAATCTTATTTCTGTACTGCTTGTCATTTGTACAAGTTTTGAAGTTTTAAAACAGTACATAATGACTCTAATGAAAATGCTCAAACCTGACTTAGGGGAGAGTTCCAAAGAGCTCCTGGCATGGAAAAAAAACTAGGCAAAAAAAGATAGATTTTCAATAAACAGATAAAACATTCCAGACCTGATATACTGCAAAGTTGAAGTGAAAAGATGGGCCATCATTTTTTTTTTTTAAAGTTAACTTTCCTTACACTGTCACTGCACTTATCCACAAGCTGCACTGCTGAATGTGAGATTGGGGTGACTGGTCTATAGTTTGTATGACTCAGTTCTGGGGGGCAGTGATGATAGTAGGGGAGCCAGTTAATTATTTAGTGTGTCTAACTGGCTTCCTTTATTTCAAGACTGGAGCACTGCTCAGTGCCTTCGTGCAGCTGTGCCACATTTCCACACCCTTAGCTGAGAAGACATGGATCCAGCTGTTCTCCAGATTGTGGAAAATCTTAACTGATAGACAGCAACATGTAAGTGTGATCCTTTTAAAAAACATATGAAAGTAAAATAAACTATAACAAATATCTTCTGAGCAGTGTTGTAAAATTTTAAAGAATATTTTCCTGGCTTACTTTTTAAATGTAGATCTTAGAGTCATAAAATCATAAGAGTTGGAAAAGATCCCAAGAGCCATCCAGTCCAAATACCTGCTTGCCCTGCAGGAATCTACAACCAGAGTACCCCTGATATGGCCATCCAGCTTCTGTTTAAAAACCTCCAAAGAAGGAGGGTACACCACGCTCAGCATATTTCACTGCCAAGCAGCTTTTTCCATCAGAAAATGCTTCCTAATGGTAGTATCTCTTTTCTTGTAGTTTGAATCCATTGCTTCATGTTCTGATCTCTGGAGCAGCAGAAAACAAGCTTGCTCCATCTTCAGTATGACATCACTTCAAATATTTAAACAGGGCTATCATATCACCTCTTAACTTTCTTTTCTCTAGGTTAAACATACCTGGCTTCCTAAGCCTCTCCTGGTTTCCAGGCCTTTTACCATTTTGCTTGCCCTCCTCTGGCCATGTTCCAGCTTATCAACATCCTACTTGAATTGTGGCACCCAGAACACAATATTCCAGTTCAGGGCACCACAGATCTTTGTAGACCCTTACGTTGTACATTGCAATTACTGAAAGAAGTGCTTTAAACTTCAGGGGAAAGTATTGTATGTGGGGAAAGGAAGCAGCTGAGATGTACTTAGGAGGAAACAGTGTATTAGGGCAGCTAGTTAATGAAATCTGAGTTGACTTTTGTATGAACCAGTTGCTGTGGTACATAATTTGATTGAAGGCTTAAAACATGAAAGTGATATGAGTTCTTTTTCTGTCTGCCATCTCTCAGGCTCTTGCTGGTGAAATCAGCCCTTTCTTGTGTAGTGGTAGCCACCAAGTGCAGCGCGACTGCCAGCCGAGTGCACTCAACTGCTTTGTGGAAGCCATGTCACAGTGTGTCCCTCCTATTCCTATCCGGCCCTGTGTCTTGAAGTACCTGGGTAAAACTCACAACCTTTGGTTCCGTTCGACACTGATGCTGGAGCACCAAGCCTTTGAAAAAGGGCTCAGTCTCCAGATTAAGCCCAAGCAGACAACAGAGTTTTATGAGCAGGAGAGCATCACTCCGCCTCAACAGGTACGGAGCGATTTTTTTTAATTTTGACTATTTTTTTAAGTGTCTATGAAAATGCATGCACATGTACATTTACTTTTAAAGCCTGATTTCCAACTCATATCCATCTAGGTTCATGGTTTTTGTTGTTGTTGTTTATTGCAGTTTTTATCAGGGCCTTAAGAAATGCAAAATTCACCCTCTTCCAAAATGGTTTCCAGGTCAATTCAAAGAGATTTTATTGTCACTATATTTTTTGGTATGAAACAAGAGGGTTTTGCTGCCAAACACCTTGCAAATTTTCATAATATTACTGTCTCTCATGGATCCCATCTAACCCATTGATTTTAAAGATATTTAAATGTGTGTGTGTTGAATATAGGTTCTGATTTTCATAGTCTCCTGACTTATGCTCCTCCCTCCCCAGGCATTCATTTCAAACCATTCCCCACTCCCTCTGGTACTTTATGTTTTTATTACACTGTTTATATCAGGATGGACAAAATATGGCCAGGTGTCATATGTAATGCTCAAAACCCTCAGATTTCCCCAAATGCTTTCACCAAAACATTTTTCCAGCAAAAAAATGGTGAATTGCAGCTTCTGGAAGCCTGTGTCCATTTTTTAAATATGCTCCAGATTTATTTAACACATGAAAAAAAGTTATTTCAAAACTGGAATTGACTTTTCAACTACTTCTGGTTTCCTTTTTTGACATTTCTGGCAGCCTGTGATGCCTCTGGAAGGCCACAAGGGCCAAAAAACAACCCCCCCCCCTCAAAAGCCAGCAAAGTTGCCCAACCTGGGGCACACAGTTGGTTGACTGCAAGTAAAAATGCATCTTCTGTATGCTGGAAGCGGCATGAAGAACTTAGGACAGGCTTCACCAGCAGGACATAGTCTTGGTCCGGCTGACTCCCAAAGAATTCCAGTTTGCTGGCATTCCATATGATGCTGTATTGCAGATAATGTCTGCTTCGGAATGGGCAGTTCTGTGCCACAGAAAAATCATTTCTATCTTTCTCTTTCCCTTTGTTTTTTTTTGCTTTTTCCTTTCTTTTCCAGGAAATCCTTGATTCACTTGCTGAGCTGTACTCTTTGTTACAAGAAGAGGACATGTGGGCTGGCCTGTGGCAAAAGCGTTGTAAATTCCCAGAGACGGCAACTGCTATTGCTTATGAACAACATGGCTTCTTCGAACAGGTAGTGCATTAGATCAGAAATGAACCCTACAAATACGGTTAAGTTTGAAACTTTGTTTTTTTCCATCATAAGCCTCTAAAAACTTCTTTTTCCTGAAGAATTGGGATGGAGCTGGGTGCTGCAGTGACCTGGATATAATACCGTCTTACTGGCAGCGCTACATCCGAGCCGTGCAGCAGCAAATTTAATTAAAGGCTTTTTTCACAAGCTTAGGTGCTTGGTAGAGGCCATCAGAATTACTTTTGTAGTGTTCTGTGCTGTTTACCTATATCAGTTTCAGTAGTTTTTGTAGCTAAAACCCTTTAAACAGGAATCTGCTATGTTTGAACACCAGTCTAGCAGATAACTGTTTTATATTTAACCACCAGTGAGCTGAATCTGAAATGGTTAACTCTTCTGTATCAAGAAATCCTGCATGGCAGGGGGTTAGACTGGATGGCCCTTGTGGTCTCTTCCAACTCTGATTCTATGGTTCTAAGAGAAAAACAATTGGAGATGTTAGTCAGATGCCTACATGTTGTTTCAGCCTTTAATTAAGATGTTAGATGTTGGGGAAGGGGGATATCTTTTGCAGGCAGGATCCTCCTCCTTCTGGCCCTGTGGCTATAGGGAGATTTGCAAAGTCCAGGAAATTTAAAATCCATTTGCATCTCAACAGGGACCCCTCTTTTGCAATCCAATATGTCTCCATTCCAGTGAGGTCACAGGTCTCTTTGTGGATTGTTTTTCTCCTGTTTGGTTCGTAACATCTTGTCTGATGAAGAAGCCCATGGAACTTTGAAAGCTTGCAACAAGCATATTGTGCATTTTGGTTGGCCAATAAAGGTATCACTGATGGATTTTGGTTTCAGTTTGCTAAATGGCCAACACAGCTACCCCTGAATGTCTTCTGTATCAAGAAGTAGGGATAGGATGCCTATATTTTATCTGGTGTTTATGAACATTGAAGGCATGTTCAGATGTAATTGGAGTAAATTACTTTCCTCATTTTGTCTCTCTTTCTGTCCCTGGTTCAACAGGAAGAAATATGCTCAGAGCTCTCACCTCTGGCTGTTCACAATCCAGCAGGAGAGCTGGCCCCAATTATGGCCGGCCCTACCTTTAGTCAGACAGAGGTGACTACCTGAGTCAGGAGGGATTGAGGGAGCAGCTACCACCTTGGGTGTTCATTTCATTTGGAAGAAAGTGGGGAGGGGAGCTATTTGCCCAACATCCATGCCTACTACAAGCAGAGCCAGGTGATGGGGTCCTGGTGGTGTCAGCCCACCTCACCATTTGTGACACTCTGGGGGGAAGAAGTTGCAGAAACATGACGAAATGTGGCAAAAGTGTCATGACTTCCATGGCTCTGACCTCCTTTGCTACTAAAAGTCCCCCAGCCTCCAGTAAGATATACAGGGTTCAGCCCTGCCTTGCATAGTCACATCACAGCAGCTGTATTTCTCTCCTTAGCCTATGCGGCCACGTCAGTGAGTGAGGGCTACACATGAGCAGCTCCATCACACTTTCATCAGTGGTGCAAGTCATCTGCTCAACAATGGAGTGTGTAGGCGTGTTTGTATGTGTGCTATTAAAGTTATTACAGCTGTTAAAAGCGGAACTGTTTTAATAGCTTTTTAAATTGCATTTTATTCTTTTAACGAGAGGTTTGAAATGTTTCAATATTGTGACTAGTTTAATTCTATTTTAACGTGCATTTTTTAAATGTTTTAAGCTGTATTGCTCTTTTAAACTGTAAGCTGCCTTGAGTCCCAGTTTTGGGAGGAAGGTG